TTATCGTGGAATAGGAGTAGGAACATATCACTATAGACTTTGTTTCGGGCCTTTGTAACAAGCCCGCGGGGGACCTCGCTACAGCTCGGACTCGACTTTTCGTAGTCACGGTTCTAAATCTGAACCAAAGAGTCCAAATCCGGCAAATCGTTTTAGGAAAACTGATTTTTGAAAGAAGTGCCAAACATGGACTGCTTTGCCAGATACAGAGTCGCCACCTAAATATTTTATTTTGGGAAATTTAGGAAACCCTGACTCGGTGACAAAAGAGGCACAAAAATGTACCACCACCTTAGTTGACAATTTTGGTGGAGGGGTATGAAGCGAGATGTGGCTTTATTTGTGTCCAAGTGTTTAACTTGTCAACAAGTCAAGACAGAATATCAATGACTAGCCAAGTTATTGCAATCCTTGATTATCGCGGAATAGGAGTAGGAACATATCATTATAGACTTTGTTTCAGGCCTTCCTAGAACACAAGGAGGTAATGATGCAGTTTGGGTAGAGGTGGATTCATTAACTAAGTCGGCTCATTTTCTCGCTATATGTATAGGGGACTCAGTTGATTATCTGGAGGAACTTTATGTTAAAGAGATTGTCCTGCTTCATGGAGTTCTGGTAAGTATTGTCTTGGATCAAGACCCTCATTTTACTGCACGGTTGTGGCAAAGTCTACAAACTGTTATGAGCGCACAGTTAACTTTTAGCACTGCTTACAACCTACAAACCGAGAGACAGTCCGAGCGCACTATCTAAATCTTGGAAGACATGTTGACAGCTTGTGTGCTAGATTTTAAAGGTTCTTGGGAGAGACACCTACCTTTAGCGGAATTCACTTATAATAATAGTTACCAAGCTAGCATTGGAATGGCTCCATTTGAAGCTTTGTATGGCGACCATGTAGATCATCGGTGTGTTGGACCGAGGTAAGGGATTCACCTATGCTCGGACCAGAATTGGTTCGTGAGACCATTGAGAAAATAGCTCTTATTCGAAAATGGTTAGTTACGGCTCAGAGTCGACAAAAGAGCTATGCAAACTGGAGAAGAAGACCCCTATCTTTTGATGTGGGAGATCATGTATTTTTGAAGATATCACCTAGAAAAGGTTTAATAAGATTTGGGCGAAGCAAAAAATTATCACCTAGGTTCATTGGCCCCTTTGATATTATAGAACAGGTGGGGGAGGTAGCTTATCGCCTTGCATTGCCACCACAATTATCCGGAGTGCACGATGTGTTTCATGTATCCATGCTTCGCAAGTATGAACCTGCTCCTTCCCATGTTTTGGGTTGGACAAATTTAGAGGTGGATGAGGATGCTTCTTAAGAAGAAAGACTGACGAAAATCTTGGACACCCGGGACCAAGTTTTGAGAGGCAAAGCCATTACTTTAGTTAAAGTGTTATGGCATCACCACAGAGTGGAAGAGGTCACTTAGGAATGAGAAGCTGAAGTTCGTGAAAAATACCTTGATTTATTTAATGATATGTAAACTTGCTTGTTTTTTAATCTTAAATTATTGTATGGGAGGTTGTGGAAGGAAGTAAATGAAAGAAATATAAATTCTTATGTTATTGTTTGAAATTAGCTTTGCTTTCGTTTTGGTTTGAGAAGTGGTAATGATTGCGGCTATTGTTATTGTGATATTCATCTTTCTTGGGAATTGTTGGTGTCTTTTTGGCAAGGAATATGAAATTCCTTAAGGGGGTAGGCTGTAACAGCCGATTTTAGGTGACCACTCGAGCGGTCATTTGGTCACTCGAGCAGAGATTTGTAGTTCCCAGTATCTCACAGGTTTATAGGCGAGACTACTCGAGCGAAGGAGAGGTCGCTCGAGCGTAAAATGCAAGCTCCCAATATTTTTACTGTAACTTTGCAAAACTTCTAAGACCTTGCGTTTACTACTCGAGCGATGGAAAGTTTGCTCGAGCGGCCCCTTTGTATTTCTAGCACTTCGCTCGAGTGATGGAAAGTTTGCTTGAGCGGTGGAAAGTTCGCTCGAGTAGTCTGTTTAGGACAGCAGAGTTAAAATACAATCTAAACACATTTTTAGCTCACTTTTTATTCTCTTTCTCTCTATCTATCAGTTTTCTCCAAAAACCCTAGCTTTAAAACTCTAGATTCCATCAATCTATAGCAAGAATCCATTTTTATGCCTTCATTAAAGTTGTTATCCTCATCAAGAGTTACGTTTTGAATTGATTAGATCATGGTATCTCGGAAGTTTATCGCGTGGACTTTCATTTCTCTTGTTGCAACCCTTGAGGTAAGAATACCTTTACCCTTGTATATTTATACTTCTGTTTAATGTGTGTGAATCTTAAGGTGTATGGACCTATTGAGATGGATGATGTACATATATATATATATACATGTGGATTTTTTGTTGATGAAGTGCTTGTGTGAAATTGATTATGGGTTGTGTAATCAATTATGAAATAGTGAGTAAATACACATGAATTAAGAAAAATCCCGAATTTTCATATATAACCCTAAGGGTTCTTGATTTTGACTTAATGAAAAATTGATAAGTAAAATATGAGAGTCCTTGTGATTACTTGGGTTGTGCTTAACATGTTAATGTTCTGGAATGTATTTGAGGTGTCCACTTGCCTGATTCATGTGAGGACGACGAACGAGGGAATTTGTAGTTCAATGAGAAAGAGAAATTTTTGAATGAAATTATGTGACGTGTGTGTGTGGAGCATGTTCTTGTAATTGTTCAATGTAATTAAACATATGGGCAGTTACACAAGTATACAATTTTTAAATTATATTTCAACTAATCAATTGATTTGTCAATTTCTATCATCTAACTCGCTCAATCTAAGTTATTCACATTCTCAACCACATCAATTAGTTTGAGTCAATTTAGTCAACACCATATGACATTATTTTTTGTCAATCCCTCTTAATAGTAATTGTAATCAAGAATAAAATTATGATAAAAAATGGGGGTTTTTAATTCAGCTCCCTAAAAAATATTTTGTAGTAGTTTAAGGACAACTAAAATATGGTCATTAGTTTAAGGACACTAACTCTTTTGGACAAACCTACCCTTAATCAAGTTTTGTTATTTCACCACCTTTAACCGAAAAAGCCATTGCTACTTTTGGCCAACACCTCCAGTTGTCAGCAACAACCTCTGACCTCTGGCGACTACCTCTAATCGTCAATGACTGGCTCTAACCGTCAACGACAACTTTCTGGTGACTATTGTCAATCTATTTTCAACAACTCTCTGGCGAAGTAAGATTCCACTGACTTAGCAGATAAAATTTCTCTAAGGACTCTCTAACAAAGTGAAATTTCTCGCAATAGAATTAGACTCAGTGAGTGAAATTTCTCTAAGTAAAATTTTACTGTAACGATGAAGTTTCATTATGTGATAGGGAAAATCGAATTGTTTTGAACAAAAAAATAAATAGAAATGGTAGTAGTGATGGATCTGGAAGCGATAGTAACAGATCTAGAAGCGGCGGTAGCAGATCTGAAAGAGACAAACAATAGGTTTGTGGTTGTGAATGACACTCGATTTTGAACTAGACTGTGATTACAAATTGCGGTGATTCGTTTTTGATTTGGACAGTGATTGTGAACGACATCAGTGGTAGTGACAGTGATGGTTTGAAAGGGTGTAGAGAGAGAGAGAGAGAGAGAGAGAAATACACAGAGAGAAATAGACGTAAGCTCAAATTGTTGTAGTGTTTTTAGGGTTTGAGGGAATTTTTGACCATTTATCTCAAAAAAAATCTTGTCCTACTAAAATTTGAAGTTCAGAACCTTAACTAGTATGCAATCTTTCAATATCCTTTAACTCTTATAAGAATTTGTAAAGGGATCTATCCCTATTTAGCCTTTAAAAATATAAATTTTTAGAAAATTTGTATGTGCTACGGCTTTGTTTGGTTACAATACTCAGTTTTTATTTTTAAACGGGTTTTCATTTATCTTTACTAATTTTTTTTTCATATTAATTTTATTCAAATTTTTTATTTTGTAGATACATCAAAATTAGCTGCATCTAAAAAGTAAAAAAAGTTTAACTAAAATACGGGAAAAAAATCACTAAAAACAAATGAAAAACTACACAAAAACACACATAGATTTTTGTTTGAATTTTCTTCTATTTTTAGTGACTTTTTTTAAAAAATGTTTTAGCTAATTTGTTTTACTTTTTAAATGAATCTTGATTAGGTACATCTAAAAACACAAAGAATTTATCAAAATATTAAAAAAATTTAATAAAAATAAATGAAAACTAATTTAAAAACAGTTTTTGAAAAATCAAACCATACAGTTTCAGATGGAAGGGATAGCATTGTTAGTCGGTTCGTTCAATTTTTTTAATTTTTTTTTTTTGGTTAACATTCTAAGAAGTTAAAGTTATTAGTTTGTTAGTAAAGTTACAGACGTACCACTTAAAAGGACCGGTCAATCGATCCAAACCTCTGACATTTTCTCACTGCACCTTAAGATAAAACTACACGCTAACTTGCAACAAGGGCATTGGTTGGTTGCTTCAGTTGGCTGTTGGTCTCATAAAACAAGAAAAATTATTTTGTGGTGGACACCTTAATATAAAATTATAAATTTTATTATTTTTACCAATTACAATACACATAAAATAGTAAAGTTGTGTTTGGTTGAACGATTTGAAGAGGAATTTGGAAAGAGAAAAGAAAAAATTGTATGAAATGTGAATAAAATATATCTATATTTCACTTAATTTCATATATTTTTTCCTTTTTTCTTTCTAAATTTTTTTCTAAATTCCCCAACCAAATACAGAACCATAAAATAACTTCTCCATAAAGCAAACCCCTTCTCCATAAAGCAAACCCAATGGGAAATTATCCAGACATATCCGAGTTTCCTCTTAAGCCGTACTGTTTCACGTGGGCCCCCAATCCATCGATGACCTCAACAAAAGCAAAATGTTCTCTCTCTCCCTCTCTCTCTCTCACACACACACACCCCTCTCTCTCTCTCACACGCACACATACACACTCTCTTGCTTTCCGTTGTTATAAATGCATCTACTCATCACTCTGTTTTCAAGCCTTAACAAAAATTTTCAAGCCTCATTTGCTCCCTTAAACCTTACAAACATAGAGAAAGGTAAAAATAGGAAAAGAGAGAAATAAGTGTTGGCTCTTTTAACACACCATCAACAATGACTACTACAACAACAACAACAAAGGCTACTTTTTCACCACCGGAGACCGCCGTGGTACGGTCGCCGTGGCACTCTCCGCTGCCGTACCTGTTCGGGGGCCTGGCGGCGATGCTAGGTTTGATAACCTTCGCTCTCATAATCCTTGCTTGCTCTTATTGGAAACACACTGGTCGTTCTGAGAATGGTGAAGAAGAAGGTAGTGGTGACACTGATCTCGAAAAAGCAGGGGATTCAGGCAAGGTTTTGCCAGTGTTTGAAGAGAAGATATTTGTGATAATGGCTGGTAATTTGAAGCCTACCTTTCTTGCCACACCCATGTCTTCTTCTTCTTCTTCTTCTTCTTCTTCTTCTTCTTCTTGTAGCAGAGCTTCTTTATTTGGTGTTGATGTTAAAACTAAGAAAGAGGAGAGAGATGAAGCTCAAGTTATTGCGAAGCCAAAACAAGAGATGGGTCATGATGATCACACAGAAACAGCAACAACAACTATACATGGTGCGACAGAGTCTCAAGAAAATCCAGAGAACCAGGTTTAGAACCCAGTGAAGTGCAGTTTATTAAGCTGAAATCAATTTTGAGAGAGAAAGAGAGAGAGGAAAGAGAGAGATTTCTCTTTGGTCCTTAGATTTTGTCTTGGTTGTGTTTTTGGTGTAGGAATGGGTTTTTGATGTAGAGTGTCCAGGAAATGTAAATTTTGATGAGATGAAAATCATGAAAAGAGAAGAAGAGGAGAGTTTTTTTCTCCTACTAATTTGCTATTCAAAAAACCATCTGTTCTTTAATTAAGTTGGTTTAATTTGTTAAATTTTTTTGCACACCATCAAGGTTTAAGACCTTTCTTTTCTCAAGCTACAGATTTCAATATAGATAAAATAAAAACAAAACAAAAAAGAAAAAAAAAGCCATTTGTCTTCTTCTATCTCTTCTACTTTGTTGTTTGCTCATGCATTTACAGTTGATTCTTTTTGCCACTGCCCACTGTCCACTGTCCACTGTCCTGATCAAATCCAAAATATTAACATTATTATTCATTTAAAAAAAAGACACATATATATGCCTATATCTATTTGTGGTTATAAACTACAAATGCATTTAAAGGGAATATAATGCTTAAATAAGTAAATATTTATCCAATATTTTACAAGAGAATAAAGTAAAAGAAGGGAAAAAATAATGCATATATTCTCGAAGGAACCACAATTCTTCTTTGATGTGATAGCCGGAAACATAGTTTTTTCTGGTACCGGAGAGACTAGTGGAGCCTTGTCTTTAGGATAATTTTATTTATTTATTAATATAGTTTTTGGAGTGAAGAATCAATTATGTTAGAGAAAAAACATATAACGGTAACACGTGTCCTCATTGATAATGCTACAATTCTTATCATAAAATTATATTAATTAGATAGTGATACCATCTCGTGATATTATCATTACATTTAATATTTACTCGCGTGTGAGAGAAAAAATTATATTATCCCAACATATGAAAGTGTTTTGATTTGATACCCAACTACTTGTAAATATTATTAAAGTTAAAGATAAATAAGAAAATTCCATTAAAGATTTCCTCTTTTAGTCCTCCAAGTACAAAATTGTTCACTTTGATCCTCCGATTTAATTTTGTCTCCTTTATTTGAACCAATGGGAAAATATAAAAATCGTAAATACACACTAGTACAAAAATGAAAATTCTTTCACAAAATATTCTAATTATCCACTATGTATATTTTTATTATTTATGTATTGAAACATATTAGATAATGCACTACAAAAAATAAATATATATATTTTTAACGAAAAAAAATACTGTCACCAAAAAAATTGATTAAAAGGATTCTCATTCATCACAAAAATCAAATTTGGATGACAATTTTTTTTTTGCATTCCAAAAATTACATTTTCTTGTAATAGTTAGAATATTTCTTACGAGACATGTTGCCTCTTTTTATTTTTTTATTTTTGATGATGTGTATTTATTTTTTTCCAACACTCCTAGTGCAAAAAAAAAATAAAAAAAATAAAGAAAGGAAGACGAAATAAGTTGGGGGATCAAATTGACACACTTTTTATGTATTGGGGATTAAATTTACACAATTTAAATATTATGGATTAAAATGACACAAATTGCATACTGTAGGAGGTCCGAAATGAACAATAATAATTATATACTTGGAAGGCAAAACTATGCTAATGAATTCATAATCTGGGATTCATTCATCACAAAAATCAAACTTGGATGACAATTTTCTTTTCGCATTCCAAAAATTACATTTTCTTGTAATAGTTAGAATATTTCTTACGAGACATGTTGCCTCTTTTTACTTTTTATTTTTGATGATGTGTATTTATTTTTTTCCAACACTCCTAGTGCAAAAAAAAATAAAAAAAAATAAATAAAATAAAAAAAGGAAGACGAAATAAGTTGGGGGATCAAATTGACACTCTTTTTATGTATTGGGGATTAAATTTACACAATTTAAATATTATGGATTAAAATGACACAAATTGCATACTGTAGGAGGTCCGAAATGAACAATAATAATTATATACTTGGAAAGGCAAAACTATGCTAATGAATTCATAATCTGGGATAACCAAAGAGTGAGTGGTTGGATGAAGCTGGAGCAAGTGGTCCAAGAAGAGAATGTAGCAATGCAAAAATAGGCAGCATATCCCCCAAATACCAAGAAGTTCTCCTCTCAAACTTTGAGAAATCGATTATATTTATAAGCTTTTCCCTGGTACTGATATGGCCAAATAGCATAGTGATGCGTGTTGTAGGATATTCTATCTTGAACCACCAAGCTTTGGTAGACATGTGTCTCTCTGCATGTACTATTTGTTTGCCATGAACCTCAACATGTGCCATCTTGTTACAAACCTCAGCAGGTGCTGTTTTTGGTATGAACTGCGGAAGGCGTACTTGCTAGAGTGGCACCTTCTAGGGCGTGGGCCACAACAAGAGTTGTGCCTCATACCAAGCCCAAGAGAGCTTCCTTGGTCCTGCCAGTGCGACCAAGACAGATCCATGACCTAGGTAATGGAAATGAAGTCCCTTACTCTCAAGTTGCCCTACTCCCATCGTCACGGGGTTTGTGACGCCCAAATTCTATTCTAAGGGTTGAGATTAAGATAACGTCACTATTGAGTCATTTTGGTCAATAACTAAGTAAGATCCTCGGAAAGTTGAAGGAATCAATATAACCTCTCCTCAAAGTCCAACCCCCTTAGATATCAAAACTATTTTTTTGACAAATTTTAAGAGGTATTGATACAAGATCTCATAAGAAAAATGAAAATAGGTATAGGTTCACAAAAGATATATATATATATATATATATATATATATATATATAAGAGAAAACAAAAAATAAAAAATAATAATTATAGAGTTACAATTTTAATTACAACACAAAGTTTCATCACTATTACATTCCAAAAAGATGAAAATACGGATGGACGTAAAACAAAACATCTTCTAACTTCGTCTATGATAGCCAGTAATCTTTGAAAGTCTCCAGTTCCTCGTCAGCCACGAAATTTTCTTTAACACCTGGCACAAAACACCATGAGTTTGGAATGCCCTGTAAATGCAGACACACCCTATCTCTTTTTCCCAGTCCAATACACTTACAAGAATAGAATTGAATATTTACGCATGGTGAACAAGTAAACAAGTAAGGATTACAATGTTAGGCACTAGAATCTAGAAATTCCCCCAAAGAGATTTCATCCTCTCAGTCATAAGAATCGGACTCGAATTATTTGGTATGCCCCATTTTTTGCTGCTTTGCAGACCTTACCTCGAATGCCTACAATGGTTACATATAGTGTAGCACCAACCGAAGATCTCAAAAGAGATGATAAAAATAAGGGCCTTACCCATTCTCTCTTTTTCTATTCAAGGGTTCCGAAATAATCACTTGTGCAAGACTATACTTCAAATAGGGAACACGTCTCACCAACCAATTTAATTCAAGCCCAACATTATCTCATAATATTATTCAAATGATCAAAACCTAATTACCACCCCAATTACGCTTCCCGTTGAGTTAAATGTTTTAAGTTAAAGTTAGAACAAGCTATTGAGATAATAATTTCTACATAAGCATGAACATCATTAAAGGATTGTGGTAAGGAATATAACTATAACATATGAAAATATGATGCCAAGACATAAACAAGTGATAGTAAGCACATCCATGAAGTTATGAGCATGTAATTATCAACAAAAGCACATTTTCAGATTCGGTGCACTTCAAATATCACAATCAAAGGAACATTTTCAGATTTTTCCCGAACTTGAATTTCCTATAGTTTGTAGAGAATTTCATCTAGTTTTCATAACATTTTTCATAAGTGGAATAGGTTTCCTAGATTTTTAGTTAATTAAGAAATACACCAGCACTGTCCAGGATTGTTGACTGTTACTAAAATTGGATTTTCTCTCAAACTGTTCACTCTTTTTCGATAAAAAAAAACTTTTCCTTGAAAGCTAACACTTAAAGGAAGGTTTTGATATAATAATGAGGTTAAGGATGTTTTTCTAAATTTTTGTAAAATTTTTGAAAGTGGGCTGAAAATACCGGTTTTCATGCACAAAACTTGAAACAAGGGAAAAAGTAAAAAAAAAAAGGGTAACCATGGATAATTTTTCACTTCTATTGTGATAAAAGCATGCTAAATAATATATTATAAAATCATAATTTTAGATTTAAGGTGTGCCTTTGGAAATCATGTGAGATAGAAGTAGAAAAAAATAGTTTTGCATCTATTAAGGGAAAATACAACTAAGAGGAATCAAAGCTCAACTCATCAAATTTAAACACATGAACATCATAATTTCATAACTGAAATGATACTAAAGGACTTCCAAAATTATGTATTTGAATGAGAAAATTAGAAAAGAGGGTTGTGTCGTGGCTTAATTGAAGCTATGTGAAGTGTTTGCACAATTTTATCCTATTTTCCTCTCCTTCACTATCAAGGTTCACTCTTTTCCTCTCCTTTCACTCTTCGGGCTGAATGTGTGTGTAGGTGAGTGTATAAGATATGTAAAATGTGGAGGGTGGTGGCGTTTCTATAGAAAAAAATGGTGTGAATTGTCTAAGATAACCTTAGTTCCAATTCAATTGAATAGCTCCTTGATTTGGTGTGAATATAATGGAATGAAGGTTATTAGGACCTTAATGGTTAAACATGATCTAGTTAGGCTTAGGTTTAATTTAATTCATGCTAGTTACAAGCACCTTAGATTTATATCAATAGGGTAAATTACACTGACCTCCCCTGAGGTCCACCTTAGTTACAGGGACCTCCCCAGTAGTTTCAAAAATAACACTGACCTCCCCTACTTTTGAAAATAATACACAAATTCCCCCTTGTTATTAGAAGGACGTTAATAAAGTAACAAAAACAGTGACATCAGCCACAATAAACATGCAATGCCCAAAATACCCTTGTCATCCTTTATAAAACAATACACTCTCTTATAATTATTTGCCTCCACTTTCCAACACCTATTAACTTTTCAACAGATGTCCCAATTATGAGTGCTTCAGATATATATAAACAAGTTCAAATATCAATGCTTTATACGTACATTTGATGTTTCATAGTTAGTTGATAGTTACATCCCAAAAGAGTTATAAAAGATTTACATCCCCCAAAAAGAAGAAATCACTATCTCATAGTTAAGCACTATGCTCCTCATCTATTACTACATCATAGTTACAAAAGTATGATCAAGATACTCACAACAAAAAAACAAAAGTGGGTGC